ATATATATATATATATATATATATATATATATAATACAGTTGGATGTAGTATTGTTTTCTTTATAGTTAACACGTTTAGGTCATGGTGTCACCCCCCAATGGATCTGGTAAAAAGGCATTTTTCTTCTGTACATTTTGCAATACTTAAGCTTGGTGTCACCCCCCCCCCTAAATGGTCTCATCCGGTGCTGTCCGCTACCCTTGCCCCGTCCTCGCTACGCCTATGCTTACAAATGTTAAAAAAAAAACAGCGAAAAAACTTGTACACGAAAAATCACAAAACATTTGCAAACAGTTACAACAAAAACTCTCATTCCCATTATACTACAGAATCCAATGGGGTAGGAAATACGCTCTAACAGACGCAATAGACACCTTTAGGAACCTTCACCTCAAAACCATCAGACCCAAAGCCAGGGAAATAACATACAGACTCATCTACAATTTAACACCCAAAGCCAGGGAAATAACATACAGACTCATCTACAATTTAACACCCAAAGCCAGGGAAATAACATACAGACTCATCTACAATTTAACACCCAAAGCCAGGGAAATAACATACAGACTCATCTACAATTTAACACCCAAAGCCAGGGAAATAACATACAGACTCATCTACAATTTAACACCCAAAGCCAGGGAAATAACATACAGTCTCATCTACAATTTAACACCCAAAGCCAGGGAAATAACATACAGACTCATCTACAATTCAACACCCCTAGCAAAACAACAGAAACATTATTGCCCACTATGCAGACAAAACACACATGTATTTAGAATGCCGCACCATAGAAAATATGAAAAAGACGTTAGAAACCAAAATAACGACAAGAAACGAGACCTTCAATATTGACATATATAATTCCATACCAAAATCCCTAAATAAAGAGAAAGGACGGACCTAGAGCAAAAAGCAAGGCCGGTATCTATCTATAGACAGACTATCTGGAACAGTAGAATAAGAGCAAAAGACGATTAGGTACAGTTCTTGGGACAGATACTAGATTTGATTTATCGTAGACGACTTGACAACGACAGTATTCAAATACACAAGAGGTGTAGCGCGAAGGGGGGGGGGGGGGGGGGGGCGGTGCTGACCGCATCGGGTGACACCATTTAGTAGGGTGACACAAAGGCAAAAAAATAGCAAAATATTATAAAATGATAATTCCACTTAATAAATAAGTGATTAATTCGAGTGTCAAATAGTCTTTTAAGATTTTAAGAGCTGCAAATCGAAAGTTTAAGCGGGGGGGGGGGGTGCAAAATCGAAATTTGAAAATTTGTCCCCGGGTAGGGTCGCTACGTCTCTGGGGGGTGGGGTGACACCATTAAGTGCCGCACCGGGTGATACCGGACCTCGCTACGCCACTGAAATACATATACCATAATTAGCAACACCACAACGTGAAGAACATATCACACTGCCCTGATCGCCTGGCCTGCCCAATCCTGACCGACATATCCCCTTTCATCACACCCTCCCCGCCCCCGCAACCCAGGAACCCCATATCATATTGCCCCCATAACTGCATCTCCTTCGTCCTCATGACCCCACCCCTGTGTTGAAATACTATACTATATACTGATGATGATGATGTATTACCAAAGTAAATAAAGATGAATGTTACTTATGCGATTGAAATATTTACTACAAACACCCCTCATTAACCAGTTATTCTTAAATTCCTTTTTGAACCCAGACAATAACACGCACTCTCATTCTATACAACTAAACCAGCTCATACCAAACGATGATGGAAGACTTGCCTACCTAGCAGCATATTCCCCCCATCTCCTCCATCACCCGCATTACAAAAGCTACACACTTGCCGTTTACTTGGTGCGCAATACTTATTTCTTCGAGATTCTATTCTATTTTAAAAAGTTTAAGTAATTAAAAATTGATTAAAATCATGTCTATATCCCGAGTTGCCATCGGCCGTAGTGTTATATTAGAATATTCGAGAAAGTTTAGGGGAGATCACTCCCGTTTTTTTATGTTTATATAGATCTATAATCAAACCAAGTATTATTTTCTTTTCTCGAAATTTTTCAACTAATGACGTCATTGACTGCGGCGTGAAAAAAACTCCGAAACAATACATCAAAAAGACTTGGTGCGCAAAAGCAAACAGAGAAAACAGAAACTCACTAGGCGCTGGTTTACACGAGCTTTGAACAGACCCACCCTGCTAGGATACTGATATCCATGTGTAACCTTCAGCACCTAAACATGTTGCCCATTTCGGCCGACTGCCTGAAGTTTTGTACCAGGGTGTGAAGGCTAATCATTTATTGTGTACATCGAGCATACGAGCAAGCAGTTTTATGGCTCCTACACATTTTTTAAGGATGATCAACATTTTGGCTCTTGTGTGCTTGGGATTAATCTCGAAGGTTGAAGGTAAATCTGTCTGAACTCTAGACCCATAAATCTATATCTTTGTACTTGTAGACATCAGAAATCGTCACATCCGGTTTGCAGTTAGCATCAACCTAGAATCCGTACTTTGGTAGATCTATATGTAAAACTGACCTAATATCGTAACAAATAAGCATCATAACCCTTTCGCCATAACTTAAATGACTTAACAACTAAAGCACAGATGCACGTGAAGATTGGTCAAACAAACATTAGTGGCCGTAAACAATGCAGACCTCAAGAGTTTACTAAACACGGCCCAACTAATATTAATGGATTGGTCAAACAAACATTAGTGGCCGCAAACAATGCAGACCTCAAGAGTTTACTAAACACGGCCCAACTAATATTAATGGATTGGTCAAACAAACATTAGTGGCCGCAAACAATGCAGACCTCAAGAGTTTACTAAACACGGCCCAACTAATATTAAAGGATTGGTCAAACAAACATTAGTGGCCGCAAACAATGCAGACCTCAAGAGTTTGCTAAACATGGCCCAACTAATATTAATGGATTGGTCAAACAAACATTAGTGGCCGCAAACAATGCAGACCTCAAGAGTTTGCTAAACACGGCCCAACTAATATTAATGGATTGGTCAAACAAACATTAGTGGCCGCAAACAATGCAGACCTCAAGAGTTTGCTAAACACGGCCCAACTAATATTAATGGATTGGTCAAACAAACATTAGTGGCCGCAAACAATGCAGACCTCAAGAGTGTACTAAACACGGCCCAACTAATATTAATGGATTGGTCAAACAAACATTAGTGGCCGCAAACAATGCAGACCTCAAGAGTTTACTAAACACGGTCCAACTAATATTAATGGATTGGTCAAACAAACATTAGTGGCCGCAAACAATGCAGACCTCAAGAGTTTACTTAACACGGTCCAACGAATATTAATGGATTGGTCAAACAAACATTAGTGGCCGTAAACAATGCAGACCTCAAGAGTTTACTAAACACGGCCCAACTAATATTAATGGATTGGTCAAACAAACATTAGTGGCCGCAAACAATGCAGACCTCAAGAGTTTACTTAACACGGTCCAACGAATATTAATAATGGCAAATTAGAGCGTATTGTTCTGTAGCATCGGTCTGCCTGATTGCGTGTGTATAATGTGCATTTGTATTGATATATATATATATATATATATATATATATATATATATATATATATATATATATATATATATATATATATATATATATATATATATATATATATATATATATATATATATGTGTGTGTGTGTGTGTGCGTGTGTGTGTGTGTGTGGTTTGTGTGTTTATGTATGTGTGTGTGTGTTTGTATGTCTGTCGTTACTCGCTGAATTTCCACAGTAGATTCCATCCTATATTCTCTAATGTTCGCTAGTTTTGAGTTTCTAACAGATCAAGGAATTATAGATCTCAGCTGCAGCGTTGGCCAATGATAGTGAATAAACTATAACTAAAAATAGTTCAAATATGATACGTTCACAAGCTCCACATTTTCCCCCACTACAGGGCAAGCTTCACATATGGGAGTAGAATTTCAGGTACAGTTCCCATACATGCCTGAAGGCCAACCCATTCTTATGATGAACTCACCCATGCTCGACACGTTTGATGTTTATGTCACCGCTCCACTATCGGACCACCCCGTTTCTGAGAGGATATCAAGAAGTGACACCACCACGTCTATTGTCGCCAAAGGAAAGTTCTACTTTGGGATGACAGTGTTTATGCCGGTGTCGGTCCACTCGGCTGCTAGCTTCCAGGCCATACCAACTTCCGGTTTCGGCGCGGAGTACTATGTTCTGGCACCAAAGTAAGTCTTGTTTTGTTTCGTCACACAACAGTTTGTTCTGATACCAAAGTAAGTCTTGCTTTGTTTCGTCACACAATAATTTGTTCTGGTACCAAAGTAAGTCTTGTTTTGTTTCGTCACACAATAATTTGTTCTGATACCAAAGTAAGTATTGTCTTGTTTCGTCACACAATAATTTGTTCTGGTACCAAAGTAAGTCTTGTTTTGTTTCGTCACACAATAATTTGTTCTGGTACCAAAGTAAGTCTTGCTTTGTTTCGTCACACAATAATTTGTTCTGGTACCAAAGTAAGTCTTGTTTTGTTTCGTCACACAATAATTTGTTCTGATACCAAAGTAAGTCTTGTCTTGTTTCGTCACACAATAATTTGTTCTGGTACCAAAGTAAGTCTTGTTTTGTTTCGTCACACAATAATTTGTTCTGGTACCAAAGTAAGTCTTGCTTTGTTTCGTCACACAATAATTTGTTCTGGTACCAAAGTAAGTCTTGTTTTGTTTCGTCACACAATAATTTGTTCTGGTACCAAAGTAAGTCTTGCTTTGTTTCGTCACACAATAATTTGTTCTGGTACCAAAGTAAGTCTTGTTTTGTTTCGTCACACAATAATTTGTTCTGGTACCAAAGTAAGTCTTGCTTTGTTTCGTCACACTAAAGTAATCAATTTCATTGATTTGTTAAAGAATAATTCTAAAAAAGAAAAGTCAGCACCTTCTTGTGTTCGGTTATCGTAGCATGAATAGAAATTAGCATGTGCTTAAAAGCCTTTGGTTATTTTAGACTACTAAAAGGGTGGTGATAGGCCTAATAGATTTATTTTAAAAAGAACTCGAATACAGATAATGCAACATAAAATGTTTCACAAATAAAATATATGGTTCTAATTTAAAATAGCGTTCATATATTAACGATAAAAAACCTTGCGAACAATATAACCAGTGATGACTTGAATTTATGCGTGATGAATAATCAAAGTTCCAATGATCAAAGCCACTATGGTCAAGGCACTAATGATCAAAGCCACTATGGTCAAGGCACTAATGATCAAAGCCACTATGGTCAAGGCACTAATGATCAAAGCCACTATGGTCAAGGCACTAATGATCAAAGCCACTATGGTCAAGGCACTAATGATCAAAACCACTATGGTCAGAGAAAATATGTGTAAAGCCACTATGGTCAGAGAACATATGTGTAAAGCCACTATGGTCAGAGAACATATGTGTAAAGGTTCTCGTACCAATAAAATGTTTCTCACTATTCTTAAAACAATTCTGTAGTATAATATTGTTTTAAAAAATTAAACTTTATAATCAATAAAACAAATTAGACCGAAGTTTAAAGTTGTCTGAATAAACCCAAATAAAAAAATTCGTCTGTTACATTGATACATGGCCAATTCATACCGTGATATGGTCGCCTCTACTCTACAGACCCTAAAATCCAAACCCCCTCACGTTTTATACCCTGACATCCCCGCCCCTACGTTTCACACCCTACTATCCCCATTCTGTATCGCATACTCAAATGATTTACGACAACGTTAACTGGTGTTCATTTCTAACAGGATGGGGCCTTGGATTGTGCTCATGTCTTTAGTTGAGGAAAATGAAATCAGCGTACGATTTACTGAACCCATGGAGCAGCTAGAAAGCAAATTCACTGAGGGATTACTCTCTACTATTGCACTCAATAGGTGGGTAGCTAACTTTGGTGTCTACCCAATATGTGGGTATCTAACTTTGGTGTCTACCCAATAGGTGGGTAGCTAACTTTGGTGTCTACCCAATAGGTGGGTAGCTAACTTTGGTGTCTACCCAATAGGTGGGTAGCTAACTTTGGTGTCTACCCAATAGGTGGGTAGCTAACTTTGGTGTCTACCCAATACGTGGGTAGCTAACTTTGGTGTCTACCCAATACGTGGGTAGCTAACTTTGGTGTCTACCCAATAGGTGGGTAGCTAACTGTGGTGTCTACCCTATAGGTGGGTAGCTAACTTTGGTGTCTACCCAATAGGTGGGTAGCTAACTTTGGTGTCTACCCAATAGGTGGGTAGCTAACTTTGGTGTCTACCCAATACGTGGGTAGCTAACTGTGGTGTCTAACCAATAGGTGGGTAGCTAACTGTGGTGTCTACCCAATAGGTGGGTAGCTAACTTTGGTGTCTACCCAATAGGTGGGTAGCTAACTGTGGTGTCTAACCAATAGGTGGGTAGCTAACTGTGGTGTCTACCCAATAGGTGGGTAGCTAACTTTGGTGTCTACCCAATAGGTGGGTAGCTAACTGTGGTGTCTACCCAATAGGTGGGTAGCTAACTTTGGTGTCTACCCAATAGGTGGGTAGCTAACTTTGGTGTCTACCCAATAGGTGGGTAGCTAACTTTGGTGTCTACCCAATAGGTGGGTAGCTAACTTTGGTGTCTACTGCTACATTCTTGATCTCAAAGTTAAAAGTTGTCCAAGTCAGCAGAATATACTTGAGTGACGCGATTTATTTTCTCGGCCATTTGTAGAGCTTTAGATCAGGTCGCTTGGATTAGTTAGATTCTATAGTTTAATCTAATCACGAGTCATTTTCTCGGCCATTTGTAGAGCTTTAGATCAGATCGCTTGGATTAGTTAGATTCTATAGTTTAATCTAATCACGAGTCATTTTCTCGGCCATTTGTAGAGCTTTAGATCAGGTCGCTTGGATTAGATTGATTCTAAAGTTCCATCTGATCACGATTTGAAAAAAAAATTTGGTGTTATAAACTTAATTAATTTACATCTATATTAAAAGCAGACGATTTGATTAAATGTATTACAACTAGTCCTCTCAACCTTTCTTTCTTTAAATGTTTAGACAAATGTTGACTCATTTAAGATTGTGTAGTCAGATGTTATTGATTGAGTAGTTATCAATCCGAAATTAAATTGTGTCAGTTTTTTTAAACTCGGGATAAAATATTGAAATTTGAATTTCCCAACCAGGAAGGAGGCGTACATCATGCAGAACTGTACTGGAAGAACAGTCGGAGAGAAGCATCTTGGAGGTGAGTACTTCACGGGAACTTTAATTTTTTTATGGTAGTGTGAGTACAATGTGTAAAATGTAGGTGTAATGCAGGCAAATGACTTATTTACTTATTTTTGTGTGCAAGATTGTGATTTGATTTAGCTGACTTTTAATTGTTCCTGTTACGGACATTTTTGTTCGCGAATGAGATTAGCGTACGTCGCTGTAATATTTCATTACGTGACATTGATAAACACGACTACAGCAGCAGATTGTTCTTGTTGTGCATCTATGTGTAGTAATCTTACTAGATCTATGATGAGATGTGCATTTTTTTTAACTCGTGGACAGTCATACCCCAGACAACTAACAAAGTTGACCTACTTTCTTCTTAGCAATCACACCAGCTAAAATAACAGCGTTGTATTCATTCGGCGTTATTGTTGGCACTTGCGAAGAATACGAATTTGAATCGAAATGTCAGAGAAAGAATGTCAAGACCGCTGGTGGTGTAACGGCAGGTAACATACACAAATATACACACACACATACACACATTTATATATATATATATATGTATAATTAAAATTACTTATTTAACTGATGTTTCAGAAATGCTTATCCCCTCAAGAACTGGGGAAAAACAGTTTGTTATACCTGTTACTATTAACGAAGAAACACAGGTGATAAACGTTGCTGTTGGACGTGTTTTGGAGGTGAGTTGTTGAGCTTCCTTACACTCGTCAGGTGGGTTGTTGAGCGTCACTAAATTAACTAGGTATGTTGTTCAGCTTCACTACATTCAATAGGTGAGTTGTTGAGCTTGAGTATCTGGCATGTCTATAAGACACGCTGAGCCAACCCAGCTCTAATGAGTAGCTGGCATGTCTATGAGACGATCTGAGCTGAGCCAATCCAGCACTCAGAGTATCTGGAATGTCTATAAGATGCTCTGAGCCAACCCAGCTCTAAAGAGTATCAGGTATGTCTATAATCGCGCTGAGCTAACCCAGCACCTAAGAGTATCTGGCATGTCTGTAAGACGCTCTGATCTGAGCCAACCCAGCACTAATTGGTATCTGGCTTGTCTACAAGACACGCTGAGCCAACCCAGCACTGATGAGTATCCGCAGGCTTTTGTATTACTGACATCACTGGGGTAAAAGTATTCCTGCATCACTTACTTCATTGGACTCCAACCGGTTACCATCGATTATCAATGCGAAAAACAATTATATTCTGCAGGCTTCATTAAATCATCAACGTGCTTTGTCGGCTTTCTAAAGATGTATTGAGTTTATATTGTCGCCTTTGTTATATAAACAAATTTGTCAAAATATTTATATCAGTCCGTTTTCTTTGTCATTTACGTCATCTGGTCGTTTTTTGTCAAAGCACTGAAAAGATTTGGTTGTATTTATACCTTTTCAGTTCTCTTGGTTTCCTTAAACTTTCTTCTACTAATTCTCTCTAGACCCCCCCCCCCCCCAGGAACAAAGGGCTGCAGCAGTAGCGTAGCCAGGATTGTCTCATGGGGGGGGGGTTCAAATTTTTACGATTTGCACCCCCCTCAAACTTTCGATTTGCACCCTCCCCCCTCAAACTTTCGATTTGCACCCCCCTCATGCTTTATATATATACCAAGGGGTCTATGTGGGGGCTATGACCCCCCTGCTTACGCCACTGGGCTGCAGACAACTTCCCCACAGGACTTGGTTTTGGGCAGCTCTCAATATTTGCTCCCATGTTCGCCCTGTAGCGCTCGCCTTTATTTCTATTGTTCTTCTTTAGTATATTATCTATTTTGTCTTCTTGCTCATAGAAGCCTATTTACTTTTGTTATCTTATAAGCCTTTTTGCTGTCGTTATCTTATAAGCCTATATGCTGTTGTTATCTTATAAGACTATTTGCTGTCGTTATCTTATAAACCTATTTGCTGTCGTTATCTTATAAGCCTATTTGCTTTCTTTATATTATAAGCTATTAGCAGTCTTTATCTTCAAAGGGTATTTACTGTCTTTATCTTATAAGCCTATTTTCTGTCTTTATCATATAAGCCTGTTTGCTGTCTTTATCTTATGTCGATTTAATCTTTAATATATGCATTAACTTGTCGTCTTTGTAACTATCATGTATTTTGTCGTTTTTGTAAATGTCATGCATTTTCTCGTTTTTGTAAATATGTATTTTGTCGATTTTGTAAATATCATGTATTTTGTCGTCTTTATAAATATGTATTTTGTCTTTGTAGTCATTATGCATTTTGTCTTTTTTATAAATATCAGTCACCTCGACGTTGTCTTCGTGATGTAAGAACAGGTTTAAACAGGCTCTGCTTGTATGTAAGTTAGAAAGCTCTGATTGTATGTAAGATAGAAAGCTCTGCTTGTATGTAAGATAGAAAGCTCTGATTGTATGTACGATAGAAAGCTCTGATTGTATGTACGATAGAAAGCTCTGATTGTATGTAAGATAGAAAGCTCTGCTTGTATGTAAGATAGAAAGCTCTGATTGTATGTACGATAGAAAGCTCTGATTGTATGTAAGATAGAAAGCTCTGCTTGTATGTAAGATAGAAAGCTCTGATTGTATGTACGATAGAAAGCTCTGATTGTAGGTAAGATAGAAAGCTCTGCAGAAGTGAGGTATAATAGTATAGGTCAGTTAGGCATTGGTCAAGCAGAACCAATCAAATTGCCCGACAAATTAGAAAGGTCACGTGTGATGGTCAGCTGATCAACACTAGTGTTAGTGGGGGGGGTGTAGTCGGTCAAGCGTGTGAACATACATCAGGTATGTAAGCAGTTAGGCATAAATATCGTGACTAGATAGCTGAAGTCGACTAGCATAGACTAGCTAGGATGTAAGTGTCATAGTAGAAGTAGAGTGATTATATGTATCTAGAGTTGTGTATACAAGAAATACAATTAGAATATCTTTTAATTGGATGTGTGTCAGTTATTAGCTCCCACTGTAGAGATTCTGGCACAAACACTTGACCGTATGTAGATTGAGCCGTTACCGACAGAATATTCGATACACGGTTTCAGATCAATTTACATTTTTTTACAGAAATGTAAGGGATCAATTACTCGCATCAACGATGGGTTAGAGACCGACTGCGATGGTTTTGTTGATGAAGAAAGAGAGATTATGAAAGGTACTATAAATATACACTGTCTGTTTATTTACAGCACTATATACACATCAGTTAGATATAATAAATCAATATATATATATATATATATATATATATATATATATATATATATATATATATATATATATATATATATATATATATAATTTACCTGTATTTATATGTATATGTATATATATATACATATATATATATAGATGCATATATATATATATATATATATATATATATATATATATATATATATATATATATATATATATATATATATACACATAATATATGAATATGTATATATACATTTATGTACATATTGTACAGTAAATATACACGTACATGTAGGGACAAGTAAACGTACATATATACATTTACATTTATATATAAAATAACATATACATATACCTATTTATGTGTGTGCTTTACTTGCTTGCCATTTACATTTGACCTTACATGGAGCCAAAACAAAGTTTTGAAGGTATGCATGCAATTCATAGATGGTTGGTTGAACAAATGGAGGGACCCAGAGTTGTTTGAACAACACACAAGTCCGTTAAGGGAGGAAAAAGAAAAACGTGAGCAGGAAAATAACTGCCAACAAACCTGTTGCCCCTCCGTGATTTGCTTGTCAAGCACCACCATTGTTATTGGCCTGATCCTCTACGTCACGCTAATGTTCTGTGGTAAGTCATATTTCACTTGTATAATTAAAATATTAGTTTACATAATCCAAGACTATATTATACATTATTTTTTGTTGTCTTAATTGTTTTTTACAGTAGGAATCAGCATTGAATTTCTTAGACGCAGAAGAAATGCTTCGCTTGCTGAGCTGATGTCCGTTGAAGCTGACATTGTTAAACTCAGGGCTTTGTTAAAGACCGCTCAACGTGAACATATGTCTGAGGACCAAGCACAGTAATGTATTATCCTTGATAGCATAATATAGGGCCTACATAAATAATTCACATCAACTCTTTTGGAAAATTACATCATAGAACAAAAATATTTACATCAAACATTTTTATTTAAAAAACGCCACAATTATTTTATCAACTTTACACTTCTCTTTTGATATAAATAAAAATGAATGATTGCAATTTTATACAGTTGTCCTTCTGTTTTTTTTTTCATTATTTTTCTGTTTGTAAATACTATGACAGGCTTACAGTCGTGTTGAGTACATGACACGCGAGTACAGTATTTGATATTTTACATGTGTCTAACAACATCCATATCACAAATAATTGATTAGAGTTCACACGCACACATACACACGCCCACATACACACACCCACACACACACTAGCACACACATCCATCACAGATATTAAAGTAATATTTTCCACATTCTAGGGCGAAACTATGGGTATCGGAACTATTTTAACGCAATTACTACTAAGCGATGTTATTAAAATATATAGAAAAAGACAAAAAAAGTAAAACTGCCCTTTATACACAATATACTGTCGCTCATTGATTCCAATGTTCCTAGATTTCCGACTCTACCCACATACTTGTTCTGTGCCATTGGAGAAGGGGGGGGGGAGTAACTTCACAGCCAACATTTCAAAACTTAGGGCAATAGGATTCGTCAGTAAATGTGGAGAGCTTATACACGTATTCATGTGTGGGTAGCATATGAAATGTATTAAGTGAGGACACCATTATACAAGTCTGTATGTTTTGTTAGGGGTCGGCGTGGTCGAGTCGGTAAAGCTCATGGTTGCTAAACCGAAAAGTATCGAGTTCGAACCCTCGGGCAGATGAGGCTCGTTAGCTGAGGACAGCCACTCATCTAGGAGGGACAACTCCAAAATCAAACAACTGCTGCCTTGTAGTTTGTTCTTGGTTGGACAAGGGCTATGGAAGCAGGCTGAAATCGGATTCTCAATGGCACATAACTTATTGACACGTATCATTAATTGTGTTGGAGGCGTAGTCGAGTCGGCAAAGCTCATGGTTGTTAAATTCGAAAAAGTCTCGAGTTCAAACCCTCTGGCAGATAAAGGCTCGATCCCTTCCAACACTTAAAATAAAGAACGAAGAAGAAGAAGAGTTAGCATACAAAAGTGTGCAAGTGTGGATGGCGACATTTTTAACTGTGCATCACAGATTAGTAAAGATGGGGCATGGCAATAAAAGAAATAATTTTGAAAAGCCCCCTCCAGAAATCTTCCAAAGAACTCCTCCACACTACACCACATTTTGGTCTAGCTTAACTAGTTTTATCTTCACACTACACCACATTTAGGTCTAGCTTAACTAGTTGTATCTCCACACTACACCACATTTAGGTCTAGCTTAACTAGTTGTATCTCCACACTACACCACATTTAGGTCTAGCTTAACTAGTTTTATCTCCACACTACACCACATTTAGGTCTAGCTTAACTAGTTTTATCTCCACACTACACCACATTTAGGTCTAGCTTAACTAGTTTTATCTCCACACTACACCACATTTAGGTCTAGCTTAACTAGTTGTATCTCCACACTACACCACATTTAGGTCTAGCTTAACTAGTTTTATCTCCACACTACACCACATTTAGGTCTAGCTTAACTAGTTTTATCTCCACACTACACCACATTTAAGTCTAGCTTAACTAGTTTTATCTCCACACTAACCACATTTAGGTCTAGCTTAACTAGTTTTATCTCCACACTACACCACATTTAGGTCTAGCTTAACTAGTTTTATCTCCACACTACACCACATTTAGGTCTAGCTTAACTAGTTTTATCTCCACACTACACCACATTTAGGTCTAGCTTAACTAGTTTTATCTCCACACTACACCACATTTAGGTCTAGCTTAACTAGTTTTATCTCCACACTACACCACATTTAAGTCTAGCTTAACTAGTTGTATCTCCACACTACACCACATTTAGGTCTAGCTTAACTAGTTTTATCTCCACACTACGCCACATTTAGGTCTAGCTTAACTAGTTGTATCTCCACACTACACCACATTTAGGTCTAGCTTAACTAGTTTTATCTCCACACTACACCACATTTAAGTCTAGCTTAACTAGTTTTATCTCCACACTACAACACATTTAGGTCTAGCTTAACTAGTTTTATCTCCACACTAACCACATTTAGGTCTAGCTTAACTAGTTGTATCTCCACACTAAACCACATTCAGGTCTAGCTTAACTAGTTGTATCTCCACACTACACAACATTTAGGTCTAGCTTAACTAGTTGTATCTCCACACTATACCACATTTAGGTCTAGCTTAACTAGTTTTATCTCCACACTACACCACATTTAGGTCTAGCTTAACTAGTTGTATCTCCACACTACACCACATTTAAGTCTAGCTTAACTAGTTTTATCTCCACACTACAACACATTTAGGTCTAGCTTAACTAGTTTTATCTCCACACTAACCACATTTAGGTCTAGCTTAACTAGTTGTATCTCCACACTAAACCACATTCAGGTCTAGCTTAACTAGTTGTATCTCCACACTACACAACATTTAGGTCTAGCTTAACTAGTTGTATCTCCACACTATACCACATTTAGGTCTAGCTTAACTAGTTTTATCTCCACACTACACCACATTTAGGTCTAGCTTAACTAGTTTTATCTCCACACTACACCACATTTAGGTCTAGCTTAACTAGTTGTATCTCCACACTACACCACATTTAGGTCTAGCTTAACTAGTTGTATCTCCACACTACACCACATTTAGGTCTAGCTTAACTAGTTGTATCTCGGCATTCAACTAGTAAAAAAATGTGTCATTTGCAATAAAGTTTTAGAGTGTAAAGTAAGAATAAAACATGCAATAATAAGGTAGTACAAGATGACATAGATGGACAATAATAAGGTAGTACAGGATGACATAGATGGACAATAATAAGGTAGTACAAGATGACATAGATGGACAATAATAAGGTAGTACAAGATGACATATATGGACAATAATAAGGTAGTACAAGATGACATAGATGGACAATAATAAGGTAGTACAAGATGACATAGATGGACAATAATAAGGTAGTACAAGATGACATAGATGGACAATAATAAGGTAGTACAAGATGACATAGATGGACAATAATAAGGTAGTACAAGATGACATAGATGGCCAATAATAAGGTAGTACAAGATGACATAGATGGACAATAATAAGGTAGTACAAGATGACATAGATGGGCAATAATAAGGTAGTACAAGATGACATAGATGGACAATAATAAGGTAGTACAAGATGACATATATGGACAATAATAAGGTAGTAATAGATGACATAGATGGACAATAATAAGGTAGTACAATATGACATAGATCGACAATAATAAGGTAGTACAAGATGACATAGATGGACAATAATAAGGTAGTACAAGATGACATAGATGGACAATAATAAGGTAGTACAAGATGACATAGATGGACAATAATAAGGTAGTACAAGATGACATAGATGGACAATAATAAGGTAGTACAAGATGACATAGATGGACAATAATAAGGTAGTACAAGATGACATAGATGGACAATAATAAAGTAGTACAAGATGACATAGATGGACAATAATAAAGTAGTACAAGATGACATAGATGGACAATAATAAAGTAGTACAAGATGACATAGATGGACAATAATAAAGTAGTACAAGATGACATAGATGGACAATAATAACGTAGTACAAGATGACATAGAGATGGATGTTAACAGTCCAACAGAGACAGGTGCTGGCAGATACCAGACAGCCAACATTTCTTGTAACATGCAGGTACAGTTAAGATACAGATGCTTGCAGATACCAGACAGCCAACATTTCTTGTAACATGCAGGTACAGTTAAGATACAGGGCGTCCTGTTAACATGGCTCTCAAAGATGATTTAGTCTCTTACAAGAAAACTACACAAATCTATGTCACACAGTCCACCACTCATCAAAGTTCCAGACATAGAACTAATTTCGATCATGAGGTAATCTTAATTCATTTTCAGATTGTTCTAAATAAATTTGATGAAACTGCATTTGATTCAATACTAAAAAATATTTTATTTAATTTAGTGCAAAGGAAAATGTAATGCATAACGTAATGAGAATTACCCCAATTGATAATGAACTAATGAAAAACAGCGTTGTAAATAGGCCTACATATTAAATTATTATTGTGAACACACAGGCATACCTTTCGGGTGATCCGTTGCGTAGCGCAACATAGATCTATAAAACATCAACAAACGAGTTACAAAACAAGACTGAATGAAACAAAGGCTCGTTGAGACTAAAAAAAAATAATATTAGCTACACTATCTACACAAAACACAGTCTATTCTAAACACAAAACACACAAGCTAGTAAAACTATGATACAGCGGCTAAAAACTAGTATAGATAGACCTAACCTATACTAACCTTGGAGATCTGGACGAAACTGTGGACATCACACACGTTTTCATATACATTATATACCCTTTCATAAACTGGTACATACCTGACTATTACAACTCACAGCACGAGAACTGAACAAGGACGAACGGGATAGATTACCATGAAACAACATTCACCCCCCATTCATCCCCCTTCACTCGTTCACTACAACCATAGCCTGAAGAAGTTAGCTGTAATGCAATTAATTGTAACATAATTGTTTGGTGTTCGTTAACATTTTGGACTGAGTTCGTTGTCTGTGATTATCAAAGGTTTTTACTAACACCACAGTAAGCAATTTTCGTGGACTGTGTCCGTAGTCTAGGATTATCAGAGTTTCTTCCAGACATCTCTTCGAGGGGGGGGGGGGAGGGGGACGTATTTAAAGAACTCTGAGTTGGTTCCCCTTCCCCCACCTCACCACCTAAAACAGGACAGGCCTTGTGAGTGGAGCGAGATTAAAATCACACCTAGGTATAGGTAGGATAATTGACCTAGAGTGTCCGGACAGTAGTGAATGAAGTTGATCCCCCTAAAGAGGGGTGAGATCAATACAGTGATCTAACCCATACATTATCATAATGTTAAAAATTATCTTTAAAGAACGCAAAAAAAACCAGTAGCTAATTAAAAAAATGAATGATCTGAAATGCAAGAACAATATTTTAGTTTTTTTTTTTTTTTAATACTTTTATTTGCAATTAAAACAAGTACATCAACATCAAATTTTTTAACATAATTTTGAACACCAAATGAAAACGAAAGGTTTTGCAAATGTACATAATGAATATTTACATGATGTCATGTATTTGATTATAAAAAAAAATTTGCAAAGGATGACAGTAAAAGAGGTGAAGGTCAAATGAAAGTGTCAGAAGTCTGGGTGGGGAGAGGAAAGGAAATTTTTCAGAGAGGGTCAATGGGACAGTGAAGCATTTTCTATGTAGGAAAACAACTTAAGTTGACTAGTTGAAAGGGTGTTGTAGTGGTCGCATTGAGTTTTCAAAAGGTTGCAGTGTGAAAGATGAGGGGAAAGAGACAAGATTTAGAACTTTAAATACGTTCTGGATATTGATGTTGCGGTATTACTGATTTAAATGTTTAAAACAATTGAATTAATAAAAAAAAAAAAAATAAAAAAATCTACCCCCTCCTCTCTCCCCCTCTATCCACTTTACCCCCAGACATGATAACCCCACAATCCCTTTAACTGTTCCAATATTTTAGTTATATGTATTCTATTATTTAGAATGTTCCACCTAAGTTTGCAAAGGGTAATTGTAATAACTTTATGCCATCTCTGATTTAAAAAACTGTCATTATGCTGTAATATTTTAGCATTTATAGAGACAACATATATATATATATATAAAATTCTGATTTTAGACAACATATTCTTGTAAATAAAGTAGCGTTTAGATATTTTATTACATACTAAAGTAATTATTGCTCTCTTGTGACATTTACTATTAAATTTGTAGATTTATAGATATTTATATTCAGAGATTGATTATTTCCCCTTGTTTGCTTGTCTTAATTAACATTCTAGGAATCATTATGTAACATTGGTTATTTTTAACAAGGATTACAAAACAGATGATGTTGCGTTCATTCTTTTTTGTTGTACTGTGTGTATAATTTGTTATTTTGTTTTGTTTAGAGTGATACATCATTTGTTTAGTCAGCCTGCATTGTGGGGTTTTTCTTATTTCTTCAGAGTGCTACTTTCAATTTATTTTACATCATAGCGAGCAATGACGTACAGCTAGCATATATATATATATATATATATATATATATATATATATATATATATATATATATATATATATATATATATATATATATTATTTTTAAAAAAGTTTCTTTTGATGTTAAATTCAACATGCAGACGTCCATATGGACCCTTGAATGACCACTAAGACAATGAAATCTGCGACTGTTCTGTCCCTTGTGTTATTTATGGTTGTAGCGGGATTTCCCGCTTATTTCCTTTCAGTTTCACAAGTAGCCTGGAAGTTCTGGAGCGATTGTCGATTTGGAAATCCAAAACCAAATTTTAAATATTGTGATTACAGAATTTAATACACTTAACTTACTAATTTGTGATTCTATATGTTTTTCTCCCTATACGTCTTTAGATTAGTTCCATTTTTGGAGAAATTATTTTATTTCTGAGAAGGTAAATTCTAAAGATCATTAAAATGAAAGGTTTAAGCCTGAAACAGCCTACGTTATTAAAGATAATTCAATTCAATGAAACCTAAAAGGGTTGTAGCTTGCGAAATTTGTAGAGCTGTATATATTTCATCTCGTTATTTTGTATCATTACATGTTTGACTAATTTTCATATAAAATTTCGTGTATTACTTGTCCAAAACCTATTAAACAATAAATACAATTAGTTAATGTCATTTGACTGGCACGATATCTTTGTCAGCTCTCTAACATAATACAATTAATAATGTCCAATTGCATAACTACCTAATAGTAAAACCTTCAAGAAATTCCAAGATTTAAAAAAATATTAATTTAATAAAAATAAGTTTTGTTTTCATAAGAAAATCAATAATGAATGAATATTAAAAGATGAGAACTAAATCTAAGAGAAATTTAATGTTAAGGGAGAAAAAAACTTTAAAACATGCAAACTTTCTTTTTGATTTTAGGCAAAATACTTCGCGGAAAACTCATCGCTTGAATTATAATACCGTGTGTTTCTTACCGTGTGACAAAGATTTATACGTATTCCAAATAAAGACAAATTTAGTAACTACAACAAACATTTATATTTTCTACTTTGTTGACCTAAATATCAACTTGTCGCTTATTCTCAAAGCTTAAGTTTCACATTCAACTTGTCGTTATTCCCAAAGCTCAAGTTTCACATTGAACATGTCACTTATTCCAAAAGCTCAAGTTTCACATTCAACTAGTCGGTTATTCTCAAAACTTAAGTTTAATGAATATTTTCTGCTTAGAATCGGTGGGATTGTAGAGAATTTTTATCAGTTTTTTTTTTGTTATGCTTTTAACGTCAATGTATATAGCGGTTAATAAAAAAAAATGATTAGATAATTGTATAGTATATTAATTTTAAAAAATATGGGCAGAGCACAAGTTTGTTCCTTTTATTCAATTTTAATTCCGGAGAAAAAAAAACAACAGAAAACAACGAGCTTTTGATATATTGGACAACATATTTCACATTGTTTACACCAAAAATTAAGAAGATATGGCATTTAATAAAACAACACGACCTAAACTTTAACCTTTTGCTTGTACATAAACTAAATTAAATTAGCCACTAACACAAAACATAATGTTTAAAATACAAGGCTATAACGATCTCAATCGGCAATCATCAATATGCAACTACTTATAGAAGAAATTAATTCATACACGCATGCAAACGTCATCTGTACAATGTAAAATGCATAGTCTATTTTGCTCAGTAAATGTTGCATACGTTAGGAATAGCTGTTTTCTCTTTAGGTGTATTTCAATATTTCACTCTTAAAATCATTAAAATAGAATCAGCCAACTAGTTTAGATTCGTGCCAATTATGACTACAATAAGGCACATAAACAATAAAATATATTTCGATGTCTAAATATCTTGATAAGTTCCCTTGAGATTTTCTTTACATTTCAAGCAAAATATATTAAGGCATTGCCATTGTACATTACTAGTTAAGCCAACTCCAAAAGATATTTAATTAATTACGCATGCATTATTAATATATCAGACTTCAAACGCCAATACTTTAATTAAATCCTCAAAAGTAGTCTTTTTATTTTAACCCAATAACAAAGAATCTCTTTCAAAATTGTATTTATAAATGCATTTATTACAAATACTTGTTTAGCATCTACGTACATTAGTTTCGATGACCCATAACGCCGGCTGCCGCCCGCAACCCATAAAGAAAAATTAAATATGTTTTATTAAAATTTGGCCTACAAATCCTAATTTTTAACTAAACAGGACGCTGGATAGTTTCAGCATCCTTTTCCGGTTTACTAATTTGAATGGCGATTTTGAAATGTACAGCGTAGTCTCTTTTCATCCCAAAATTTTAGACTCATCTGTCCCATTTTCAGTTGATTTAAAATTAAAAATAGTATAAAGACATGCCTAAAAATATCTAGGCATGTATTTAACGAATTATATATCTTAAACAATCTTAAACAAATCCAAATTGATATTCAACTGTTAAATTCGATGTATAGTTCTTCAGACAAAATTAAATAAAAATGCCTACCCAAAATGACCTATTTCGGATTTTCTCTGACATTTTAAAATTGTTTTTCATTGTTATATTGTACTTCTACCGAATATATTCTATTCTATTTAATGCTGTTAGAAAACCAGATTTAATTCCAACATTTAAAAGTAGTTTTCATCTTAATTATCAATTTTAGACAAAAACGAATATTTTGTGAAAGGGTTCATTTGTTCATACAGAGTTATGCTCTTTACATTGGTACGTCTATGGTGGTGTTCGGTAGAATGAATGGGTTCACAACAATAAATCGAAAGATTTGGTGCGCAAAAGCAAACAGAGAACAGAACTCACTAAGCGCTGGTTTACACGAGCTTTGAACAGACCCAGCCTGCTTGGATACTGATATCTGTGTGTACCCTTCAGCACCTAAATATGTTGCCCATTTCGGCCGACTGCCTGAAGTTTTCTAACAGGGTGTGAAGGCTAATCATTTATTGTGTACATCGAGCATACAAGCAAGCAGTTTTATGGCTCCTACACATTTTTCAAGGATGATCAACATTTTGGCTCTTGTGTGCTTGGGATTAATCTCAAAGGTTGAAGGTAAATCTGTCGGGACTCTAGACCCATAAATCTATATCTTTGTAGACATCAGAAATCGGCACATCCGGTTTGCAGTTAGCATCGCCCTAGAATCCTCTATTTAATTTTATTATTTCTTTCGTTAGTTTTATATTAATTGTAATTGTATCAAAATATGTTTAATGTGTATTAATGTATTTCACAATAGGCAACATCAACCGTAACATGCCCGTACTTTGGTATATGTAACATTGACCTAGAATCTAATATCGTAACAAAAAAGTACACTAACCCTATCACCATAACCTAAATGACTTAACAACTAAAGCACAGATGCACTTGAAGATTGGTCAAACAAACATTAGTAGCCGTAAACAATGCAGACCTCAAGAGTTTACTAAACACGGTCCAACTAATATTAATGGATTGGTCAAACAAACATTAGTGGCCGCAAACAATGCAGACCTCAAGAGTTTACTAAACACGGTCCAACGAATATTAATGGATTGGTCAAACAAACATTAGTGGCCGCAAACAATGCAGACCTCAAGAGTTTACTAAACACGGTCCAACTAATATTAATGGATTGGTCAAACAAACATTAGTGGCCGTAAACAATGCAGACCTCAAGAGTTTACTCAAGAATTATCAACATTTTAGCTAGTGTATGCTTAGCATTAATCTCGAAAGTTGATGGTAAATCTGTCTAGAGAGTCTAGACACATAGATTGATAGATCTAGATCTAGAATTTAGATATCTAAGTCTTTGTAGACATCCGGGTAATCTCACGATATAGCGTCGAAAATGATCTGGTTATGTTTGATGAGTTTATGTAACATTCGTTACTGTAAACCATAGTTTATTTGACGTTGAAATAAAAATAAAGTCGACTGCATTATATTAGTTAGCATAATAAGTAAATCTAAATATTATTATAAAAGTCGAGTGCAATAATTAATGTTTTTAAAGAAATCTAGGAAAAAAAACGTGCAGAAGATTTGCGACAACTAGATCTAGTTTTCCGTTACTAACAGATTGAGGAATGTTATACTCAGCCGGAGTGTTGGGCTATATTAGTGTAACATTTGTCTAAAAGTAAACATTGTGTAGACATCATAAGTTCACAAGCTCCACATTTTCCCCCACTACAGATACAAGTTTACACGTACCATATTTTTCCCCACTACAGCACAAATGGGAGTGGAATTTCAGGTACAGTTCCCATACATGCCTGAAGGTCAACAAATTCTAATGATGTACTCAACCATGATGAATAAATTCGATGTTTACGTCACGGCTCCGATGTGGCAAAACCCCGTTTTTGAAAAAGTCGCTCTCAACCGTTTGCAGGTCACTACTTACGTGGTCCAGCGGAAATATATGTAAGTTAGCTCTTTATATCGGAAGGTTCAGCGGAGATATTTGTAAGTTAGCTCTTTATATCGGAAGGTTCAGCGGAAATATTTGTAAGTTAGCTCTTTATATCGGAAGGTTCAGCGGAGATATTTGTAAGTTAGCTCTTTATATCGGAAGGTTCAGCGGAAATATTTGTAAGTTAGCTCTTTATGTCGGAAGGTTCAGCGGAAATATTTCTAAGTTAGCTCTTTATATCGGTAGGTTCAGCGGAAATATTTCTAAGTTAGCTCTTTATATCAGAAGGTTCAGCGGAAATATTTGTAAGTTAGCACTTTATATCAGAAGGTTCAGCGGAAATATTTGTAAGTTAGCTCTTTATATCGGAAGGTTCAGCGGAAATGTTTTGTAAGTTAGCTCTTTATATTGGAAGGTTCAGCGGATATATCTGCCATTGCTTATTAAAATTATGTACTCTGACCGTTTATAACTTCGGACAGTGAATATTTACAACGTCGGTCTGTGACAACTTACGACGTCGGACTGTTAATATTTACAACGTCGGACAGTGAATATTTACAACGTCGGACAGTGAATATTTATAACGTCGGACAGTGAATATTTACAACGTCGGACAGTGAATATTTATAACGTTGGACAGTGAATATTTACAACGTCGGACAGTGAATATTTACAAAGTCGGACAGTGAATATTTACAACGTCGGACAGTGAATATTTACAACGTCGGACAGTGAATATTTACAAAGTCGGACAGTGAATATTTACAAAGTCGGACAGAGAATATTTACAACGTCGGTCTGTGACAATTTACGACGTGAGACTGTGGATGTTGATGACGTGAGCAGTGAATGTTGATGACGTGAGACTGTGGATGTTGATGACGTGAGACTGTGGATGTTGATGACGTGAGACTGTGAATGTCTGCTTTAAACCGCTCTCATTGTGTCCCAGAACATCAAGAAGTGGCACCACCACGTCTATTGTCGCGAAAGGAAAGTTCCAGTTTGGGATGACGGTGTTTATGCCGGTGTCGTTCCACTCGGCTGCCAGTTTCCTGGCCATACCAACATCCGGTTGGGGCGCGGAGTACTTTATTCTGATACCAAAGTAAGTCTTGTTTTGTTTCGTCACACAATAATTTGTTCTGGTACCAAAGTAAGTCTTGTTTTGTGTCTTAATCCTTACCATATATGGAAATATCACATTTAATTGGGTACATTTTATTTATTTCCAATCTTAGCTTTAATTGGAAGCGTGACGTCATCAATCGCTGGCAGACGTCATTCTCCAGACTTGAAACCGGTACCCGCTACATATCGTCAGCAAATAGAAGTAAGTCCTGACGCTTGGGTTACCGTTAGAGTTAAGGTCTGACTCTTGGGTTAGTGTTAGAGTTAAGGTCTTACTCTTTAGTTAATGTTAGAGTTAAGGTCTGACTCTTGGGTTAGTGTTAGAGTAAATGTCTGACTCTTAAGTTAGAGTTAAGGTCTGACTCTTGGGTTTTATGTTAAAGTTAAGGTCTGACCCTTGGGTTAGTGTTAAAGTTAAGGTTCGACTCTTGGGTTAGTGTTAGAGTTAAGGTCTGACTCTTTAGTTAGCGTTAGAGTTAAGGTCCGACTCTTGGCTTAGTGTTAGAGTTAAGGTCTGTTTCTTTAGTTAGTGTTAGAGTCAAGGTCTGTTTCTTGAGTTAGTGTTAGAGTTAAATCCTGACGCTTGGGTTAGTGGTAGAGTTAAGTCCTGGCGCTTGGGTTAGTGTTAGAGTTAAGGTCTGACTCTTGGGTATGTGTTAGAGTTAAGGTCTGACTCTTGTGTTAGTGTTAAAGTTAAGGTCTGACTCTTTGATTAGAGTTAATGTCTGTCTCTTAAGTTAGTGTTAGAGTTAAGGTCTGACTCTTGGGTTAGTGTTAGAGTTAAGGTCTGACTCTTGGGTTAGTGTTATTGTTAAATGCTGACTCTTTTGTTAGTGTTATAGTCCAATATTCTTTCATGGTGATGAATTTTTTAGTGGAGGGCGGGGAACGGTCAGGGTTGTAATGAAAACATATAGTTTAAAACTATTTTTTAACTTAAAGGGTCGTAACCATGTTAACAAAGATTGTCGGAATTTCTTGAATTGTGTCCCGTGGCTCTATTTTTTTTTTTTGCTCATCAAGAATGATAGTAAACAATTTCGAAACAGAGAATTAACTTAAAACATAGTAAAAGGCTTTTAGTTTGTATGCTATTTGTAATTCAGACTTGATGTTTGTATGTTTCAGTCTTGCTGTCTGTATGTTTCAGTCTTAATGTTTGTATGTTTCAGTCTTAATGTTTGTATGTTTCAGACTTGCTGTTTGTATGTTTCAGAGTTGATGTTTGTATGTTTCAGACTTGCTGTTTGTATAATTCAGAGTTGATGTGTGTATGTTTCAGACTTGCTGTTTGTATAATTCAGACTTGCTGTTTGTATGTTTCAGACTTGCTGTTTGTACGTTTCGGTCTTGCTCTTTGTATGTTTCAGTCTTGATGTTTGTATTTTCAGACTTGCTGATTGTATGTTTCAGTCTTGCTGTTTGTATTTTCAGACTTGCTGTTTGTATTTTTCAGACTTGCTGATTGTATGTTTCAGACTTGCTGTTTGTATTTTCAGACTTGCTGATTGTATGTTTCAGACTTGCTGTTTGTATTTTCAGACTTGCTGATTGTATGTTTCAGACTTGCTGTTTGTATGTTTCAGACTTGCTGATTGTATGTTTCAGACTTGCTGTTAATATGTTTCAGACTTGCTGATTGTATGTTTCAGACTTGCTGTTTGTATTTTCAGTCTTGCTGTTTGTATTTTCAGACTCGCTGATTGTATGTTTCCGTCTTGCTGTTTGTATGTTTCAGTCTTGCTGTTTGTATTTTCAGACTTGCTGTTTGTATTTTCAGACTTGCTGTTTGTATTTTCAGACTTGCTGTTTGTATTTTCAGACTTGTTGTTTGTATTTTCAGTCTTGCTGTTTGTATTTTCAGACTTGCTGTTTGTATTTTCAGACTTGCTGATTGTATGTTTCAGACTTGCTGTTTGTATAATTCAGAGTTGATGTTTGTATGTTTCAGACTTGCTGTTTGTATAATTCAGACTTGATGTTTGTATGTTTCAGACTGGGTGTTTGTATGTTTCAGACTGGGTGTTTGTATGTTTCAGGCTTGATCAAGCTGGAGACGCGCCAGATCGAGCGCCTTGAGGAAGAGATCCGCCCCCTGATTGAGGAGGACTTCACGTGGAAGGACGCCTTCGCCCAGTACACGCTCCAGAACGTCCTGCTCGCTTTCAGCCGTGGGCTGAGCTTCAACAGACGCCTGAGTGAGGCTGCCTTGGTCGACGCTAGGGACGGGCCTGACGTAGACGGGGAGAACAATAGAGATGAGATTGTACAAGTCCATAAATATTCCGACAAGCCCAATGGTCTATTCAACAGGCACATGTACTACAATCTACCCGAGACAGAGTACCAACGAGCGTCCATCTACAGGAATCTACCAACAGAAAGCTTACCCCCTATTCCAGAAGAATCCACCAACTTGTGTGAGTACGATATCATTGACCACAACTTAGAGGTATACTTACACGTTGGGGATTCGAGCTAAGAACTATATTTCATCGCTTCGAGTTATATATATATATATATATATATATATATATATATATATATATATATATATATATATATATATATATATATATATATATATATATATATATATATATATACATATACATACACATACACATACACATACACGTACACGTACACGTACACGTACACATACACACACTTACGCATACGCACAAGCACATAGGCATAAATAAAATATTTTTTAAACTTCTAATTTTCTGTTCTTTTTAAATAGGAACGAACTTTTTACTGATTGTTGATTACAATTAATTGTAAACCGTATTGTCTTACAGCATGGGAGTATGGCTTGCTAATGGTCCTCTTCAGTCAAAACAAAATTATACAGGTGTGTGAAAGTCTGATAGATGTGTGTCTTTGTTGATGGGTGGATGTTTGGGTCGTTGTGTTTGTTGATGGGTGGATGTTTGGGTCAGTGTCTTTGTTGATAGGTGGATGTTTGGGTGTCTTTGTTGATAGGTGGATGTTTGGGTGTCTTTGTTGATGGGTGGATGTTTGGGTCGGTGTGTTTGTTGATGGGTGGATGTTTGAATGTGTGTCTTTCTTGATGGGTGAATGTTTGGATCAGTGTCTTTGTTGATGGGTGAATGTTTGGATCAGTGTCTTTGTTGATGGGTGGATGTATGGATCAGTGTCTTTGTTGATGGGTGGATGTTTGGATCGTTGTGTTTGTTGAAGGGTGGATGTTTGGGTCGTTGTGTTTGTTGATGGGTGGATGTTTGGGTCATTGTGTTTGTTGATGGACGGATGTCTGGGTCGTTGTGTTTGTTGATGGGTGGATGTTTGGGTCATTGTGTTTGTTGATGGACGGATGTCTGGGTCGTTGTGTTTGTTGATGGGTGGATGTTTGGGTCGGTGTGTTTGTTGATGGGTGGATGTTTGAATGTGTGTCTTTCTTGATGGGTGAATGTTTGGATCAGTGTCTTTGTTGATGGGTGGATGTTTGGATCGTTGTGTTTGTTGAAGGGTGGATGTTTGGGTCGTTGTGTTTGTTGATGGGTGGATGTTTGGGTCATTGTGTTTGTTGATGGACGGATGTTTGGGTCGTTGTGTTTGTTGATGGGTGGATGTTTGGGTCGTTGTGTTTGTTGATGGGTGGATGTTTGGGTCGTTGTGTTTGTTGATGGGTGGATGTTTGGGTCGGTGTCTTGGTAACGAATCTAATTGATAAGTTAGTAATACATAGCTGACAGGGTAATTGGGTGGGTGGGTGGTAGGCTGTTAGCTGATTGACTAATGTTTAACATTTGTATTATAGATCGTGATATTGCTTCATGCTACTGTGTCTAACGCCGTAGCTCAAGAAAAATCTTTTGACAGCGCACTTTCTCTAGCAGAATCAACAGTGTGTGTGAATACTCTCACAGTATTATATGCCGTCACAATAATCACTCTCTTGATTTTTCTGTGTAAGTTATTTTATAATTACAAATTTAGTTTTTTTATGACCCCAGCATATGAAGGGATTACGTGATCTGCCTTACTTTCCCTGAGTCCTCTGGTGATCCTCTGAGCAGATGAAATAGTTTATGTTTCTTGTTACGTGTTCCTACATCTAATTTATTAAACGTAACATCCGAATTCTTTCGGGAAATGGTTTCTGGACTGATAAACTAAATGCAAACTATAAAAGACTACTAGAAACAAAACTCCTTATAAAAACTCGCTATCTAATGTCTAGGGTAAATGATAAATACAAAGAATCCTGAATCTAACAGAACTTTTAATCAGATCCAAAACTTCTAAAAATTAACAAGTTTAAGTTAAGTAAAAAAAATACAATGCAGAAACTATTTAATTATGTAAAACCCAACTTACAATTTCAAGAAAAACACAATCACCTCTAACTACAATTAACACTTGATAACTAACACAACCTACACTATGAACACAAGAAAAGATATACTAAGGAACTTTAAGGTAACATGGATGTCATGGGTTCTCTCTCTCTCTCTCTCTCTCTCTCTCTCTCTCTCTCTCTCTCTCTCTCTCTCTCTCTCTCTGTGGGTGTCCTCTGCGCCCCTCGTGTTCTGAAATCTTCTTTTTATATTTCTATCACCAAAGGATTATGGGATATCGACACAAAGGTCAAGGACTATTGGGGTGATTCACTAGCACAGTTGTGGATACTCTCACATGAGCCTCGTGGAAAATTCCCTCGTTTAATAAAATATAGCTGTAGGCCATACAAGTACTAATAAATTAAAAAGACCTAAGTAGGTCACATTCTTGACCTCGGCATATTAAGGGAAGTTGTGGTCAGCACTTTGCTCAGTCGCCTTTACTTTCGTTGACGTGAATTATTACTTTCCCTAACCCGAGCTGGGTAGACTCGGGGACGTTCTACGGACCTGAGGCGGGATTTGAACTCTAGACGTGATTTATTACTTTCCCTAACCCAAGTTAAATATACATCAGAGCTGGGTAGACTCGGGGACGTTCTACTGACTTGAGCCCGGATTTGAACTCAAAGCTTTCTACCGCTAGGTTTACAACGCCACTCAGCATATTTCAATAGTTCAGCTGAGAAAGAGAGAGAGAGAGGGGGGGGGGGGAGGGAGAAAGAGTAGGAGGAGAGAGAGAGAGAGAAGTTCGCTGCAGGGCTTATATATATTAGTATTATTTTTGTCAAACCTTTTTTACAGTGGTCATTATATCGCTGCACTTTTACAATAAAGCGAAATTGATGGAAATACAAAAGAAACACTTCGAAGAAAAAAACAAAGAGCAAGCAATTGAAATAGCGGCAAATAAAATCCTGTTTTATCTGGAATGGAAGAAAAGGTAATTTTTATTTGTTTTAAGTAGGTATCAACTTTAGTGTCTAACGGCTGTGTCCTTAAATTAAAAGAAATCTTTATATAAAATGGCTTCTGCTATTTAAATTTAACAATGTCAATAAGTAGTAATAATCGTGTGGTACGTTTTTTCCCATTCCTTTGTTTACGTTAGTTTTTGTTTTTCAGCCTGGTTCCAGCTCCTAATGGTTAGTGGCGGCTGAATTGAATGTAGCGGCTTAAGTCAAAGGCGTGTGACGCTCACACCAGCAAGTTTTCTGGCCAAGTCTCTCAACGTCTTTACTAATTTACTAATTTTTTTTTGGCAGCCCACATGCTGTTTTTTGTTTTAACTCCACGATAATTTTTTTTAAATTCCTTAAATTTTTTCTGTTGGTTGCTATAAATTAAAAATGAATAATTTGTGTTTAAAAATTGTTATAATTTCAGTAATGAAACTTTTAACATATGTCTCAAAAATGAAATATTTTAAATTTTATTTAAAAAAGAATTCCTGACTTGACATAAAGTTTCAGGGTTTTAAAATTTCAGTTGGGGATTGAATATTAGGATAGGATTCACTTTAAAAAATGTGTGGTAGCCCTTAAAAATGTCTGTTTTTTGTGATTTAATTGTTCAGGACAAGAAATATATCCATGATATATAAATCGATATGACATAAAATTTAGCTTAACTGGATGTCTAATTATTTTTTTAATTACTTATTTAATATTACCTACAAAAGTAAGGGATCCTCATTTTGTGCTCAGTAGATTTTAGCCATGCAACTCTATTGTATTAACTATTTTAAAGTACGGAAAAAAATTGCATGGGAAAAAAATGGCATGGAAAACTGAATTTATAAGTTGGAACATTGTAATAGTAGTCTTGCAGTTCAGATATTTAACTTTTTTTTAATTAGCTACTGCTTTCTTTGTTCTTTAAAGATTGTTTTTTAAGATAATGCTAAAGCACAAGTTCAATCACCGTATTCCTCACGGACCTCTTTACTAATAATTAAAAAATAATGTTCACAAATATTCACAGTGTTTGTTAAATAAATAACTATAGTTATTCTTTAATTGAAGTTTGCTTATTCTTTTTTTTGGTTGCAGTTCTACTCTTATCCACAGTGTTTTTATATTGTTTTATCAACCCGGGGTATTATGTATATGTTCTCACATATGTAATGTTGATCATCTTGACGCCTACAAATGTAATGCTGATCAACTTGACTCCTACATATGTAATGCTGATCACCTTGACTCCTACATATGTAATGCTGATCACCTTGACTCCTACAAATGTAATGCTGATCACCTTGACTCCTACAAATGTAATGCTGATCACCTTGACTCCTACATATGTAATGCTGATCATCTTGACACCTACATATGTAATGCTGATCATCTTGACTTCTACAAATGTAATGCTGATCATCTTGACTCCTACATATGTAATGCTGATCACCTTGACTCCTACATATGTAATGCTGATCATCTTGACACCTACATATGTAATGCTGATCATCTTGACTTCTACAAATGTAATGCTGATTATCTTGACTCCTACATATGTAATGCTGATCACCTTGACTCCTACAAACGTAATGCTGATCACCTTGACTCCTACATATGTAATGCTGATCACCTTGACTCCTACAAACGTAATGCTGATCACCTTGACTCCTACATATGTAATGCTGATCATCTTGACTCCAACATATGTAATGCTGATCATCTTGACTCTTACTAACGTTCTTGAAGCTGTGTGAGAATGTATTTATTATTCTGTACACTTAGTCATCTTTCTCCCACCCCCTGACACCTCAAGTAAAGATAAGACTTGTAAATTAAGATAGATCTGTTGGTGGTTGACGGTTCATATGCAGCAGGAATAACACAAACATTAGTTGTATGGGCGCTAAAGTGGGCTATAAAAGCGCCTCGAACATGACTGGTGCTGAGCTAGGCACCGATAAGCAACCCTAAGAAGTAGGCTGTAGATCTACTTGCGGTATGTTATTGATAAAGTAACATTAGCGTACATAACATAAGAGTTTTTACTTCGTAGCTGAAGTTATGTACTTGCTGTTGCTTTTTACTTTCTCGTATACAGAGTATAAAATATTGTAATAGTGCAAAGAAAATAATCAAACAGATGTACTGACATGCATTTGCTCATACGGCATTTCGTTCACCATACAGGTATTACTTCCTTAATTTTATAGTTGGCAAGGTTTTTTGTATCCTTTATACATGAGATGTATTTTCAAGTAGATCTACATTATTTACTTATAAAACTTTTTATACGTCGCATTATTTGTGTTGAAGTTATGTTTCAAATACATCTCGTAAGGCCTGTCAGTGACTGGATTTAGTACTTGTTCATTTCCATTACTGGCGACCAACCTTCCCTCGTAGACTCTAAGAGGTTAGAGTTCGAGTGTGTAATGTGTATCTTGTGTGTTCAGTGTCCTAAGCAATATTTTTACTTTTTTTGTATGTACGAAGTATAGAGAAAGTCTTGTAATCGTGCGAAAAGAAAATGCAAATCTCGACGTTTAACACCTACCTGAGTCGGAAAAACATAGTTTTGCAATCTTGTCCGAATGTCTGTGTGTGTATGTGTGTGTATTACAGTCTGTATATCCCGAGTTGCCTTCCCCGTAGCGTTATATAAGAATGTTCGAGAAAGTTTAGGGGAGATCATTCTCGGTTTATTTTTTTTATTGTGCGAACTTATTTTAAAATTCATGTAATTCATTATTAATCTCCGAAAAGGCGCTATTGTCCGTATAATGGTCGCATGGGGAGCTAAAAAAAAACTAGAACAGCCACAGTTATGTCCCTTGAGTTGTTGTGCACTTTGTACCGAGGTGCTAATGTAATAGATAAAAAGCGGAATTTCCAGTTTATTACTTCCAGTTTCAAAGGCAGCCAAGAAGTTGTTGAATTAAGAAAGTTTTTCCTACACGTCAAACACGTAACAGAAATTTACGATTACAGTAAGTGTAAACATATAGTGTACAGAACATAAATGTATCTTCATTTAGTAATGTATATAAGATAAGAAGATCAAATGTAGATTATATTGTGTATTATATATGACGTGTAGATTTTATGTTTTAAATACAAATTGTAAGTATTTTTAAGATAAGTTAAAGATAATGAAATATGATTAAATTGTAACAGAATGTGTGTGACATGGGTGTAAAAACATTAAATGACCAAATGAATTTATAAATATATTTAAATGTGATTTTATTTTAACTAATTGTGTTTTAGTAAGAAGCAAGAAACAATATATATTTATTAGCATAAGTCACATATATTGCAGACAAGACCAAGACCATTTTGACGCTGGAAGAAATGTATTTTTATAACAGCGAATTTTCCCGTTAGATACTTTCATTTTCACTTGCTTGCCTTTAAATCAATTTAGTGAAGACGGCAATGTCATGCAATCAGAATCAACTATTGTCCAATATTTTCTTTTGTAGAATAACACGTTTAATAAGCACCGAATAAATGTCTATGAATAATATTGTTTACTGAAAACCCGTGTTGTAAATTTAAATCAATTGTGATTTTTTTTAAACTATATAAATTGGTTGTGAACATTTTAAATTATTGTATTAGTTTTACATTTTTCTGGTTAATCAAGTTACATAGTCATTTATCGACCATCGTTTTTTTTTTTAATTTTGTTAGATGCGACCCAGGATTCAAGTTGAACTTGTAATACGACACAAGAAATATTTGGAAGAACAGATACAAGTTCTGGAACCTGTCTTGGAAGTTATGAAACAAGTAATTGATTATTAATGTTGTTTGTACATCAATGTACAAGCTAATGATGATTTATGTACATAACAAGTAGTAAAAAAACAATTCTAAATAAATGAATATTAAAATGTTTGTAAGTTTAATGGAAAATGTTTTTTTAAAGGCAGTAGAAAAAAGTCAGACTTGGGTAGACGATAAAAATGACAACCCGTCTATCACGTACATCGAAATACACCAAGATCTAGAATCAGCCACATTGCTTTTAATAAATGCCACAACATCAATCATAAGTAAATATTGTTTTCTAATATTATAGCAAATGTAAGAGTTGTAGGTGTACATTAAATCAATAAATGTCGCACAAGGAACTTCATAAATATAGTTCCAACATAAATTTAAATACTGTTTTCTAATATTATACCAAGTGTAAGCGTTGTAGGTCTATAGAAAATCAATACAGTGCACAAGAAACTTCATAAATATTGTACAACAAATTTAAATATTGTTAACACATTGACACAAATATGCCGTAAAACATTATTTTGTTCATATATATAAACCAGATGAAAATCAAGAACACGCGGATGTCGAGAAAGGAACGTCATCTTTATCTCAGTCTACACAACAAACTACAGCAACAGAAAAACTTGACATTAATACAAATCAAGTCACTAAAGATGCTCAACTAACACTGGGTATACAAGATTTAGCACTGGTCAATTTTTGACATTATCCTATGATCATAAAACAAACTTAGACTTCCTAAATAATTTTAATTACTTTGTAGTTTGAAACATTTGTGTATTTGGAAAACTATTTATTTTAATTTGTTTTTACAGAAATAGTAAATAAGCTGAAGCTGATAGAGACTAATCTAGTTTCTCTACAAGACACAAGACAAAAGGCGGAAGAAGAAATATCAGAGCTTAAAATATGGAGAGACAACTTTATGGCAGAACAAAATGATAAAGTGTTAAAAGTTGAACAACTGAATAAAAAACAAAAGCAGAATTTTAAAAACCTCAGAAAACAAATGAGTGAACAAGATAACAAAGTAAAGGAGCTGAACAAAGAATTTGAAAGTTTAAAAGATAGAGAAACCAAGTCAAACAAAACACTAGAAAAACTTTGTCTAGATATGAAAGATTATGAAAACAGCTTACACAAAATAAATAAAGAGATGCAAGATCACACAAATAAAACAAACAGTCTACCTGAAGAAATGAAAAGACAGTCCGATTTGATTGTTACTTTACAAGAAGAAGTAAAGAATGACGCTGCGAAGGTAAATATTTAGTTCGACAATTTTTTTTATGCTACAAGTTAATCTTGCATTGTAATAATGTATCGCTGTAATTGTCATCATATAATTTTAATAGTTTCTAAAAAATGATTAATGAACTTCGCTTTTGGCCTTACAATAAACATTTAACTTTCATTGTTTGTAACTGTAGATATAATTTTATATATATATATATATATATATATATATTATATCCATCGTTACAGTTAAACGTGATGTACAGAATTGTACAACAAAGAATGATGCCCATTGACAAAATTATTCAAGTACTTAATCAGAATTTCGAGGCTAAGGAGCAAACTACAAAAAAGGTAAAGATAAGAAGTAGGCCTACAGTTTTTTATGTAGAAAACCGTTCTTTCATTTTCGAACTGCTTTTATCTCTTCCCATAGACAAAATACTAAGTATGCCGTTATTTATAAAATTACAGTGAAGTACATATAAAGCAAATATAACATGTTTCTTAATAAAGCAGGATAGATCCCCCTAAACTATCTCGAATATATATAACTCTACGGGGATTTTTAATCAATTCTTTCATCATTAAATCTGTTTTTTGAGAAATAAAATACAGCGTAAAGTTTTACTTCCGGTAATCGGAAATTACTAAAATTTGACAGAAGTCAGATCTTTAACTTACATGTAAAATTCGTCTCTCTGAAACTGTACTCAGGTTACAGGCTTTTGAAAATGAAATGTTGTATAAGATAGTTTTCCGCTTACCGGAATTCAATTCAATATCATACTTATCTATAAAATTTCATCAACCTAGCTGTAGAGGTTCGCATGTTATCATGTTCACAGACACACATCCACACACACACACACATATATAGAGATACGGACACATTTGCAAAACTATGTTTTTTAAATATCTCGATTTTGATTACATTACATCGTATACGAGAGACTAAATATTGAAAATTTTTTAAAAATATATTTTATTGTTTCACATAGGATTAATAGAAACTGATCTATTGAAGTTGATGACAGATTTTAAACTAATAGGTGAGTTTTTAATTGTAATGCTAGAATAACATTTTGTTTTCGATATTTCTATACAATTTGTACAAGGTGCTTGTATGTTGGTGAAATAGAGCTGCAACAATGTGTGCCCTTATCGCTCCTCCATCACAGTAGTTAGTTACATACATTGTTGACTCAATGAAGTAAATTATAAGTGGATTCTTATTTAAATAAAGTAAATTATAAGTGGATTTTTATTTAAATAAAGTAAATTATAAGTGGATTCTTATTTAAATATATATGGACAGCATGTAAGAAGCCGTAAGTGTAAAACCTAATTAAACTTAGGTCATGGATCTGAGGGAATTCTCAAATCAAGAGACTGGCGCTATAGCATTGCTATTTTTTTTTTAAGTTTGGTTTAATAATGTATTTATAAATTATTTCTACGAAACTGCCTCATAATTATTATGATTCTGATTTCGTTAGTTACGATTTTTGTTTTTAATATGTGTTTCCAAATTTAAAAAAAAAATTCAAATATGGTGCGCCAATGCGACGAATGTACAAGGGACGTGCTTCCGCCACATATGGGCATCGCTTTATTGTGCTTGATTAGGTGTGCAAAGAAATGGACGGGGGGAGGAAGAAAATATTGTTTTTACAAGCTTTTATTTAACTTGCTTCCTCTGTTGTCAGTCGTCAGTCTAGACCGAAACACCGGAGTGAAAATTCGGAAACTTCTACTTGACCGATACGATTCACACTTGGCACGTGGGTCAAGACATGCAGACAATGCAATCTGAAATTAAATTTGACTTAATTGGATGCCTAATTAATTTTTTATGAATTAATTAAAATTTGGACCGAATTAGTAGGCATGTCTATCCAACAACACCACACGCGTCATCACGTTCAATAGCTGCGCCATCACTTTCAATGGCTGCGACATCACGTTCAGTAGTAAAGGTATCCAATAGATACTAAAGTGACCCACGCTTTTCTTTATAGTTATTTAAATAGTAGTGTATAATTTATTTTCTACTTTTTAGTGCATTAGTACATAAAAGCTTGTTATTAAAACGTTTTTTATGAATTTTTTTTTACCTCTAGATAAACGTGGAATTAGACCTAGCTACAACTGCTTTGTTAATATACATTATAGTTATTAAGAAACGTGTTCTGCTCGCAACCTAGATTACCATACAAATAATAAGCGCAATATATTACATTAATGTATTCCCGGTATAAAAGTGTGCATAACTACCGTTTGAATGATGCTTTTAATTTTAATTTTTCTTGGATATTTGCTATATTGTTGGCCAAACTTGATTTAATGAGAGATCTAAAAGGACTTATAATGTAGTGTATTTTAATCTATTGTATGTTAAAACATTCCTTTATATTGAGCATGACGAAGCTATGTTGTAAGATATGACTAACATTTGAAATGTTGTATCCATGTTTATTGGAATATCAGTTGTGCGTGTACCTGTTGGCCCTAACCAAGTGTTTTATGTTTTATCTTATACAACACGTTTAGTTAAGGGGATATGATCCGCAAACAAAATCACAAAATTACTAGGGGGAGGTCGACATGGTGGGTTTCTTGCACTTTTGAATACTTGTCCATATTTGTGTTAAGAAAATAATAACTTTAATGAGAACAAATGCGTATTTGTTTAAAATACCATGATATATAAACCTTTTAATTAAAAATAAGTCAATTTTTCCCAATCTTACAAGCTCTCTACGAAAAGTTTTATATCCGTCATCATATTGTATTTGGCGTCATTGAAAAGCTGGATTTAGCATGCATTTGATAATCTTAATTTCCATCACCTCGGAAAACACTAGAAGCTTACAATGGGCTTTATAGTTAACACAGATAGGGTATTTTCGTGACCTATTTTTCGTTACTTTTGGCTCAGTTCGGAGGTTTTTAACACCAAAAAGCCTACTAATTGTGTACTTATTAAACAATGCCCACCGAATTTTCAATAATTGCAATTCATGCAAAAATAAAACTAAATAAATAGCTTTTATAGAAAAAAAGTATATGGTAAATAATATGCAAATTTTGAAACTTTTGAATACTAACAGGGTCGCTATTTTAGGCCTTGTAAAATTCTTATTATTTGCTATTTCAAAATGTCGTCGTATATTAATGTTTTAATATATAATAAAATATCAGCAGTTTAAACGTGACTGCTATAAGTGAATAATTAAAAGCTTTAGCATTTTAAAATGTACTGAAAAATTAAAAATTGTGTGTTTTTTTTTTGGGTTTCCAGGACAACCAAAATTGTTTTCAACCTTTTTTTTTTGCTGTTTAATACTTACCCTCATGTACCAAACGTGGTAAATGTATTAAAAAGGCTTGAGATCTTAAATTGTATACAAGAAAAAATGGAGCATATCCCCGTAAGGGCTTATTCTGCCCCTTTACACATAGATATTTACATGAAATTGTGTGATGAAGACACTGTTCTATTTTATTTTGACAGAGACCCGTGTATGTCAGCCTTACATCTGTCAAATTTACCTGGACAACACACCAGTAACCACTGGTTTAATTATTTCTACATTCCCTGTACTGAGGGAACATAACGGCAGCCATTTTAATAAAACAACAGGAAAACTTGAAGCACCAGATGATGGTTTATATCTGGTTATCGTGACGTTAGTAGCCGGTGGAAATAATCCAATTTTGGTTCAAGTAGCAGTCGGAGAACTAAAGTATAAGACTATTTACGTGAAAGCTGACAATATTTCTGCTTGCGGATCAACTGTAGTTCCGTTGAAGAAAGGTCAAGAGCTATATTTTAAAGTTCAACAATCAGGACCAGGGTCTTTCCTGCAAAAAGGAAGCGGTTTTACTATTTTAAGAATTTAGCTGAAAGATTAAATATAATTGTATTTGTTAACCTAAAATTTAAAATCAAAATATAAAACTAAGTTGAATATTACCTTAAGGGTACATTCTCGCTAGAGCTTTTAAATAAATGTATACACTGAAGAGGTAACGGCGTGGCTATGCGGTAGGGTAAAAGTTCTGCTAACTCGAAAAAACTCAAGATAGAATATTAGTCCAGACCAGTAGAGCGTACCTGAGTCCCCTTAGCTCTGGTGTCTGCCCGACTCTTTAATTAAAACTTCTTTTTATATGCCGAGGTGAAGAAACATAAGAACTCTATTTCATCTGCCAAATGTATCGCTAGGCATGAAGAGGATTACTCACTTTATACACTGAAGATATCATGCCTGTTTTATATCTCTACCTAGCATTACTTTTACTGCATATAATATTAAGAATGTATATTTGTAATACTATTAAATCATAAATATTATTAATGCCTGAAACATATAATTGTATTTTGCAAATTTAACATTTTTGTTTGTATTGGAAATATATATTTTTATTATTACGTAATAAAATTTGGTTCTAATTGTACATTTGTTTAATATCTACTACTGTCCAATGTGTTGTAGAAAAACCTTGTTAAATAGGTATTGCATTTAGCAACAGTATGTGTATGAAACATGTCTTCACTATAGAGAGATGATAAGCAAACATCTCAAAAACCATGTCTTAATATAATGTTGATTTCTTTACTCTTAACTTTGTCCGAGCACTACACTAACTAACACATAATTTCAAGAAGGTGGGTGGATTTCTTGGTTGTGGAAACTTGAAATGATTAGTGTGAAGAGAACACTTATCATTTTAGTATCAATGGCCCGTCATTAACATGGGGGCCACTGAAATTTTAAAAGGCCGAGATCCGATGTTTATATTTCACCCATCTTATTTGCTTGTTATTTACTCTAAGCTGACTCTGTGTATTGCAGAGAAATGTATCACTGACATTCAACCAATTTAGTTTATAAACAGTCTATCAGCAGTCATGTACTGTTTGATTTGATCACACCTGAACTAGAGCTCAAAGTGCTCTCCGATAGACTTAGGGTGATATAAGAATATACCGTTAATGTTTAGGGAAGATCACTCCTGTTTTATTTATTTTTTTCCATAGTATTAGTAATATCTTTAAAATAATTTTTTTCATTATATTATGTAGGCACTATGCGTTTTATCACTACAAATATTAATTTATTACTTACGTACTAACCCATATCTTGCCAGCGTTCCTTAGCTTGTAAAATAACTAATTAGATTAACAAAAAACTAGTCTATTTTTTAAAAAAAACAATAATGATTAATTGCATTAATTGGACAATTTTTACTTTCTCGTATACTTATATAAACTATCAAGTTATTTGATTACAGTTTTAACCATTACATACATGTATATCTTTAAATCTTGACATGATTAAACCATGACGGAGAGTGGTGCTGCAAGCTATCTGCGACAAGCATATTATGTTACATAAACGTACTGAATTGACAAGACATAATATTTTATGAAGTAGCATATATGTTAATTACACAAGGGCATACGAAGCATAGCTACTTTAAATTGTCCTTACATTAATTTATGTTAGATCACTCGAATATAAACTCTGTGTATGTTTAATTGTATGTATTTTAAAATGCAACCTAAAAAAAAAATCAAACCATTTGTTTTCCAAAAATGACGTGTAGATTATAATGCAATATGAGCACATGTGTGTGTGTGTTTCTGTTTGTCTGTGAACACGGTAACATGAGCACAGTTACATCTTGGTTGACGAAATTTCATATATAAGTATCATATTAAATCCGTTTCCGGTACCGGAAAAGGAACTTTTTCTACTTTCAGTTTTTCTGAAGCCTATAACTTAAATACTGTTTGAGTTAGACGGAATTCCCCCCCCCCCCCCCCCCCCCCCCACACACAAACACACACACACACACGCACATATATATATATATATATATATATATATATATATATATATATATATATATATATATATATATATATATATATATATATATATATATACTATATATATATATATATATATATATATATATATATATATATATATGTATATATATATATATATATATATATATAAAAGATCTAATGCTCTGTTTTCTGAAAAATGTGAATTAATTTGCGGTAACCAAATCAACATGCAAACCGCCCAGTATAATTTAATTAATTCATAACTAAATAATTAAGCATCAACTTAAGTCCAATTTGATCTGTAGTAACTTTGAGAAAAATAGATGTTTCTACCTCTGTAAAAAAAGTAAATCCGGAGCGATGTTTTCTAAGTATGTTAAAACAAGCAAGGATGAAAATACAAGACATTTCTACATGCCTAACGTTTTTCTTTTCTTGTAGTATTTCTCTGATACATATTGTTCCTATTATTTATTCACCACTTCTTAATCGATTATTTCCCCTCCCTCTGTGGCTCATTCTTCATGGTGATTTACCCTTCCTGAAAGTCTCTCAAAGTTCCTATTGTTTATAAAACGTTTTCATTTAAATATAGTACTTTTTTAAATGATACAAACACATCTATCATATTGTAATATTTTTTTTTATTTTTCATCACGTTTCTACTAGTATAATTATAAAATCATCAAACTAAATTTACATTTGATTATGTGTTGTGCATAATCAGTAAATCATTTGGAATATAAGTAGAGTTATAAACGGCATATATTAAACATCGGGCTATTGGAATGCTGGATATATTCAGTACATGTTATCTGTATTATAGATTAAAGCATACACATTTTCATACGATGTGATCTATAAAAGAAGTAAGTAGTTGAGCGAATTACAAAACTAATTCATATTGGATTGATGATACATGCTTGATAATTGTGAAGTGACAGAAGTTTATACATTTCTGAAAGTAGTATAGTTGTAAATTCTGGTTTTAGAGTATTTAAAATCGTGTTACATATCTGGATTACATATATAAATAAGGTAACACTCACCAAGCACTTCTACAAACTGACAATAGAAAATGCACTGTACCAGGATAAACTAGCATTTTGATCAGCATGATCGACTTTAAAGAAAAGCTCTTGACCTTTCTTCATGTCAATAACTACTGACCCAGCAGCGTTGGTATTGGCAAATTTAACTTCGGTGCTCAGGCACAGAATGTCTTCAGTGTAAACACCAACTTGAACAAATTTCTTGCCCCATTCGTTTAGAGTCACAAATACAAGATATAAACCATCATGTGGTGATAGAAATTTTCCTGTTGTTTGATTGAAATGTTGACCGTTGTACTCACGGACATCACCAAATTTTAAAATTATCGAATCAGTACTCACTGGTGTAGTGTAAGCAAGCTGTATTTGACAAACATATATGTGACGTACCAGGTTCTCTGTCAAATAAAAACATTTCATCAGCTTCATAACAACTTAACTACAACGTATTCAACCTAATTTTACTAAAATATTTCGTTTTTTGTGTTTCCCAAAAATATTCATAAAATTATACAACGCTATGTTAGAAGCCATTTTATTGTTAATATCGCAAGACCAACGAAACTAAATGTCATTGTTTCTCAGTACTTTCACGAGACAGGTATTGTAATCTTGCTGAAGGTAATTTGTTGGACAATAATGACTTTATATTACTTTACTTTTTTCTGTCTTCAATGAAATTACGTCATCATGCGTAACTTCACAGGTTAATTACACTCTCGACAACTCAAGTTTGCAATTGTTTTTTACACCCTTTGTCTGGTTAGTGGCAGTAAAACATCATCAGAAGAGAGAGCACCAATAAACACCAGTGTTGGGCATAAAATGGTAGCGGGTGGTTAGAAGAATTCTAGAGTTAGTATGTCTAGTCAATGTACTCAAACGAGAACAGTCTACCAATTATTCGAAAGTGCCATTAAATATTTTTAAAAATTATGCACGTTGTTAATAAAATAAATATTGTTATATAGATATGAATGTGTGATGTTTGCTGGACTTTACTAAAGATTGGAGGTAATTTATGGTTTTAGTTATTCTGTAACTAGGGAAAAACATTTAAAATTCTAAAAACAATGTGATTGTATTTATTTTCACCGAAATTGAAAACAAACAAAGCTACACTTTGAAAATATTATCAACAACGTTTTTGAGTACAATTCATTTGAGGTTTTTTTTTTAAAATAGGGTTTTTAGAATATCGATCATAGAATTCCTATAGATCCATTCATTGTTTGTCTTACGAAATTGAAATTTCTGGTTATAGCTTGAGCTTGATGAAAATAAATAGAAAAGTAGCCTTAAACAAAACAAATATTCTAAACTATTTAGAATGTTCAGGCTTATTTTTTTTTTTTACGGTCGCTTTGTTTGCAAAATCTAAAAACCAAAAAAAGGTTTTTATCCATGTCAACAATAATGATGGAAGAATTATTTTCAACTTGGTAATGTCTGTTAACAAATTGAGAATGTGTACAGCAATGTAAATAAGCACAATTATTTACAAGTTTCGTAATATGAGTTTGATTTTGATGGAATTAAACATTTTAAAACGCAAGTAAAAATCCCCATTTAAAGCTATATTTTAAAAAAAAAACTAGCTGCTTTTAATGAACTTATATTTAGAAATCTAGGTTGATATGAGAGCCACCCATTATGTTTAGTAAGCATACAGGCTAACATTCAGGCCAAAGAAAAATTAATATATTCAAGCTAATATAAATAATAATCTAGTCATAGTTTTAAATTATTTACAGCAACTGACCAATTTTATGAAAATCTGTTGTCAGCCTTAAGACATCATTTTCCATAGCATCAATCTAAATAAAACAAATATTACAGCATTGTTTAGTTTTGTTTTTAATAGCTAAAACATTAAAACTATTTTGAATTTTGTAACAATTACATTTACTGACCAATCCTTTATTAAAACTCATATTGATGCATGCATATGTTAGATATTTATCGGTTTAATCAGTAGATTCAATTAA